CATCAATAGTATTACCACAATATTCTTATGTAATAGAAGATTAATTCATCAATAGTATTACCACAATATTCTTATGTAATAGAAGATTAATTCCTCAATAGTATTACCACAATAGTCTTATGTTATAGAAGATTTATTCATCAATAGTATTACCACAATATTCTTATGTTATAGAAGATTAATTCATCAATAATATTACCACAATATTCTTGTGTAATAGAAGATTAATTTATCAATAGTATTAACACAATATTTTTATGTAATAGAAGATTAATACATCAATAGTATTACAACAATATTCTTATATAATAGAAGATTAATTCATCAATAGTATTACCACAATATTCTTATGTAATAGAAGATTAATACATCAATAGTATTACCACAATATTCTTATGTAATTGCAGATAATTCCAGGCTACGCACACAAAGTCTTTCAATAGTATATTAGATACTTTAGCGAAGAAAACAAGATTATAGCTGCAGGGAGCCAGAAATGTAAGAAAAGAAGGTTGTACAGTCGTCACTGAAAATTCATACCATGAGGATAGCCCCGTAAATATGCAATATGCAACAGCAACTTTTCTCTTATACATTGTTTCATTGTTTTGCATTTGATGTCAATTTTGTTTAAACAATGTTGTTTATGAATAGAACTCTTGTTTATGATATTCAGTACGTGCCAAAAGATGATTCATTCAGAACAACTAACAAGGTATGGAATAAAAACAATTTTATTCTTTTAAATGTAGAAGAATATCATTTTACATACAGGGTGTCCCAAATAAACACTCTTAAAGGTACTGCAGATCTTATCCTGGTGCGATTTCAATACTATTAACACTATAGTTTTGGCTTGGTTGAAAGCTGATATCGAGATCTTTGGAAAAGAAAAAAAATCAATATTTTGAAATGTTAGAATAAAAGATACTAAATATGTGAAACGGATTAAAACTATTCTTTTAAAAGAATTTCACAATTCCTTCTTGATATTTTCATTCAGATGTACTTTACGGTACATTTAGCAGTAATGCACTTTTGCACTTTTGTGCACAACTGTAATTTTTATCTTTAATTCAACTTTTACTTGATTCAAGTCAATAGATTTTAGATTAAATAAATTGATATAGTAATTATATAAATCTGAGGATTGACATATATATATAAAACATAATATAAATTGGTGTACAATCTTAGGATATTAAACATTTTTTAAAAATCCATTTCAACATTAATGTAACATGGCAAACTTCAAACTGTCATTCATAACTTCCACAATGTCATTGCTGGAGATTGGGCTCCATCACAGATATTAGGGATTTTGGAAGCGTCGAAAGTGTCAAAGAAAGTTAGTTTTTGCCACAAATTCGAACTTTTCAATCCCTATATCTTTGCAACCCAATGTGGAAGACTTTTGATATTTTTAAACTATGAATTCTGTAAGATCAAATAGTCTTAGTTTGAAATATCAAAGGTTTACACCGTCAAATTAGAGAATTTAAGTTTGTGACCAAAACTCAGTTTCTTTAACCATGATGAGAGCTAGAGTACAGCATTTTTTGGTACACCCTGCATTATTTATGAAAATAACAAATATATGAAGAAAATCAACCACAGATTTAAATTCCTTACATATATCCTTCCAGCTAAATGTAAACTTTTGATATTTTAAACTTTGACTGTATGATCGGGCAAAAGTATAATAGTTGAAGTATCAAAGGTCTGCAGTATCAGGTTGCAAAGATATAAGGATTTGAAAATTAGTGTTTGATGAGAGTAATCATGTCCTTTTTGTACAATTCAATTTAGCTTTTCCGTAAAATATTTTTAATAAATATGTTGTTTAGATATGTACACAAGTAGGGTATGGAGTGCAAGCAATATTTGGACCAAACGACCTCATACTTGGTAAGACAACTCACGTTAAACTAATGTTCGCATAAGACAACTCACGTTAAACTAATGTTTGCACCATATTTTTGTTCATTATCAGTAATTAAACAAAGCATGATGAACCTTTTATAATAATGATTTAAAAAAATTTTGTTTATGGAAAAATACATAAAAAAGACGGAAAGAAATTGCAGTTATAAGGTAAAACTCACCTCCTTGAAATCGGAACTTTTGTCTGTAGTATCATTAATTTTGACCGCTTCATCTTTATATTCATTGTGTACACTTTTTAACTTGAGGATAGATTGATCCAGTAATATGCAGACTCTACATAAGATGGAGATCAATTCTTGATCTCGAGATTCTAAATTGTCGTTAAATATTCTAGAAATGTTTATATCTAAAGTTTCTGTGGTATAAATCTTCATTTCTTTCCTTAAAACTAATTTATATTCCACAACTGTTTCCATTTTATTGCAATGGACAGATCTGAAAGTTTTGGATTCTCTCGATAAAGATAATTACCTCGTCATAGGGTACATTTTGTAAAACAATCTTGCTAAGGTCATAATATTTAGCTGGGTTGAATTTTTAATTGAATTTTGAAGAAACATTTCTCGTTGTGGGGCAATAAAGTGACATTATCGACCTGTTATTAAATAAGTTGAGTAAAACTGAATATATCTATATTTATTACTTATGGGTATTATGCTTGCGAAAAAGTGTTTGCTGGGATTACTACTTTTACAACGATCAAAATGAAAGTATTTTTACACCAAACGTAGTGAAACAAACAGACTAGAAAGAGTGAAAATCTCGGCATTATTTTAATTTTTAGATAACTTTTGACTTAATTCCTTGAGAGTTCCCAATTTACAGTTTAGATTAAAATTTAGAACTGATTGATAATATTTTCTTTATCGAAAATCAATTTAATATATCTGTATATATATATAGACTATTTAACTTAAACATTTTTTAGGATTTCATAAGAAAAAAAAAACAAAAAAGAATTATCTGATTTATGTACTTTTTTCAAAGTTTGGACTTCTCAACCTCTATCATGTTCTATCTATGTTTTATGTTCTCATGTTATATCCATGTTTTAGGTTCTATGTTCTATCCTTGTTTCAGTTCTCATGTTATATCCATGTTTTAGGTTCTATGTTCTATCCTTGTTTTAGGTTCTCATATTCTATCCTTGTTTTAGGTTCTCATGTTCTATCCATGTTTTAGGTTCTCCTGTTATATCCTTGTTTTAGGTTCTCCTGTTATATCCTTGTTTTAGGTTCTCATATTCTATCCTTGTTTTAGGTTCTTATGTTCTATCCTTGTTTTAGGTTCTTATGTTCTATCCTTGTTTTAGGTTCTCATGTTCTATCCTTGTTTTAGGTTCTCCTGTTCTATCCATGTTTTAGGTTCTCATGTTCTATCCATGTTTTAGGTTCTCCTCTTCTACCCTTGTTTTAGGTTCTCATGTTCTATCCCTGTTTCAGGTTCTCCTGTTCTATCCTTGTTTTAGGTTCTCATGTTCTATCCATGTTTTAGGTTCTCCTGTTCTATCCTTGTTTTAGGTTCTCATGTTGTATCCCTGTTTAGGTTCTTATGTTCTATTCTTGTTTTAGGTTCTCCTGTTCTATCCGTGTTTTAGGTTCTTGTGTTATATCCCTGTTTTAGGTTCTCATGTTCTATCCTTGTTTTAGGTCCTCATGTTCAATCCTTGTTCTAGGTTCTCATGTTCTATCCATGTTTTAGGTTCTCCTGTTCTATCCTTGTTTTAGGTTCTTATGTTCTATCCTTGTTTTAGGTTCTCCTGTTCTATCCATGTTTTAGGTTCTCATGTTCTATCCATGTTTTAGGTTCTCCTGTTCTATCCTTGTTTTAGGTTCTCATGTTCTATCCTTGTTTTAGGTTCTCATGTTCTATCCATATTTTAGGTTCTCCTGTTCTATCCTTGTTTTAGGTTCTTATGTTCTATCCTCGTTTTAGGTTCTCATGTTATATCCATGTTTTAGGTTCTCATGTTCTATCCTCGTTTTAGGTTATCATGTTATATCCTTGTTTTAGGTTCTCATGTTATATCCTTGTTTTAGGTTCTCATGTTCTATCCTTGTTTTAGGTTCTCATGTTATATCCGTGTTTTAGGTTCTCATGTGCAATCTTTGTGTGATGCCTTAGATATCCCTCACCTTGAAGCCAGGATAGATATAGATCATGGATATAAGGTAGGAAAGATAAACATCATGGACATAAGGTAGGATTTACATACATCATGGATATAAGGTAGGAAAGATATACATCATGGATATAAGGTAGGATTTATATACATCATGGATATAAGGTAGGAAAGATGTACATCATGGATATTATAGGATAGATATAGATTATGGATATAAGGTAGGATAGATATAGATCATGGATATAAGGTAGGATAGATATAGATCATGGATTTAAGGTAGGATTTATATACATCATGGATATAAGGTAGGAAAGATGTACATCATGGATATTATAGGATAGATATACATCATGGATATAAGGTAGGAAAGATATACATCATGGATGTAAGGTAGGAAAGATATACATCATGGATATTATAGGATAGATATACATCATGGATATAAGGTAGGAAAGATATACATCATGGATTTAATAGGATAATTATACATCATGGATATAAGGTAGGATAGATATACATCATGGATATAAGGTAGGATTTATATACATCATGGATATAAAAGGTAGGATAGATATACATCATGGATATAAGGTTTAACAGGTCTAAGATTGTCACATTATAGTTTCATGTAAAGTAGAATGAATTTTCACATTCAAAACAAACAAAATTAAATGTATCTGATATCATTTTTTAGATAATTTTTAATAAACGATCGCCTATTATGTTTATATTAATATACTAGCTAGTGTGGCTAGTTAGAAAATGGATAAAATTAAATGAAAAAATACGGGGATCATTTTTTAATTCATTTGTTTTAGGAGTCGTCACTTAATCTTCACCCGTCCCAGGAACTGATGAACATAGCCTACAAGGTAAAGAACAGTTAAAGGGACTACAAGCGTATTATGAGTTACCCTTCATGCAAAGATGACAATGTCCGATTCACAACGGTACCCTTGAAACCTTTATTCAATTAAGGTATAGCCGTCTCTTTTCTTCTTTAAAGTGTTTAATACTTATAATTTTTATCATATTTCTGCAGTTTAAAATTTTCAATAAAAAGTTAAATTTCAAATTTCATTAAATGTGTTTTAAAGGTTTTTAATTTTGTAAAAAAAATTTAAATTCTTGAAAATCCGCGATTTATTTTTTAAAAATCCGAAAAAAATTTTTCTTCTTTGTTATAAAATGTAAACAAAAAAAACATGTTCACAATTTAAATAGAAGATGGGTGCGACGCGCCCTAAAAGCCTATTGTGAGATAAATTATGAAATTAAATCCTGAATTTTCCCAGGATTTAATGATGTTCCTAAACTGGACTAGAGCTGCAATTCTTTACGAAGATGAATATGGGTTAATAAGGTATAAAAGATTTTATCTTTGTTCTGTAAAAGTTTATGTATAAAATATTAAGAACCTAGAAGTAATATACAAGACTAGTCAGACCCCCACCAATGAAAAACCTAGAAGAATAATCTATCTATTTTCAAGGTTACAGGACCTAGTCACGTCCCCGCCTGCCAAGAACCTAGAAGTATAATCTATCTATTTTCTAGGTTACAAGACCTAGTTAGATCCCCGCCTGCTAAGAACCTAGAAGTATACATCAGACAAACTAAACCTTCAAACTACAGGAACAAAACAAAATATAGATTAATACAGATTTATTTAAACATCTTAACATTATCGGCCAACGCTTCACCTTAATAACGAAATACTATGTTACTTTATTATCCCTAGGAAAAATATCATCTTGAAATTCTCTTTAACGCCTAGGAGTAGGGTACAGGGTTACAGGGTTACAGACAGGTAAAAATGTCGGTCAATGTAAAAAATCTAAAATATTCAATAAATATTTTGGCGATATATCATGTTACTTTTTATCGGTTGGAAAAAAAGTAACTTCACACCCTGCATTAGAAGTTTTCGTGAAGTATTGTGTAACAAAAATGTTCGATAAAACCGCCTTAGAATAATACCTAATTTGTTTTTTCATTAAATTAAATATTTTGACAAAATTAGGGAGTTTGTACAGTGAGAACCAAAATACTCCGGAATAGGACTCAAGTTATGACTTTAAATAGTCCAATGAATTTGCGGCACAGTAATTGTGCAATGTAAACAGACCCATTTCATTTAATAAGTGATTCAATAACTTATAGTTAAAGCTATTTTCTTTATAAAAGAAATATTAAATGCACTTATGTCGTCTTCCTATTCTGCAGTTTTCTGGTCATCACTGTAGGTAATACATGCCTGCATTCTGCAATCTTAAACTTGAGTTTATTTCTTATTTTGTTGTACTTTGCATAGATTTTAAAATGAAAATATAAAATTCTAATTTTATTATTCCTTGAAATTGAAGTTTGTTTTGATGCAGGACTGTTCTACGTGAGATAAAGAAGAAGGAAATATTTAATATAATTGTGGATACAAGTCTTGAGAATATTGCAGACTTTTTTAGAGCTATTCTACAACTACAGATGAATAATCATTTAGTAAGAAAATCTCTTATCATTTAAAAACAGCGAATCGCGCATTGTACATTTTATATACTGTCTTATAGGATAAAATTGAAAATTTATAATCTTATTATTTGAAATTAGATGGTTTTATATCATAGAATTAAATTTTAATTCAATAAAATTAAACATCTTTAAAAGATTTATTTATAGTTGTTTAAGTTCATAAACTTCTTTTCCTTCGAATTTAACTTTATTACTTTATAAACGATTAATAAAATTTGAATAAATCTAATGAAAAATAATTGAATAATTGTTTTTTCCATTCTCTTATGTAATAGAAGATTAATTCATCAATAGTATTACCACAATATTCTTATGTAATAGAAGATTAATACATCAATAGTATTACCACAATATTCTTATGTAATAAACAACATATTTATAAAATGTATTATTTTTAGTATCATTACACTTTCACGTCGTTTGATATTGAAGCAATGGACCTGGAGGACTTCAAGTATAATCAAGTTAATATTACAGCTTTCAGGTTAGTTTAGGTCACGTGGTTTTGGTTTAAAAGGGTCTGTACACGTAATTTTAAGTGATCCTCCATTTAAAGAGGAGTATGTCCGAATTAAAGTGCTACCCTTTAAACCTGATCAAGGAATATGGCAGGAAGCCCCAAGGAACATAATGTTCAGCAATAATATGAGATATCTATACCACGCACCCCTGACCCTTTGGTAAAAGTAAATTCAACCTAAAGTCTGATCGCGTCAACCTTGTTGCACCGGCTAGTCCTATTGAGTGTCTGCTTTATTTTCCCAATGTCCGGAGTTCAAAATGGAACCGGAAAGGTTGACCCGGCTTGAAAATTCAAATGTACTACGGCTGCCCGTGATAAAATTCTTACTGGACCGGACTCAGATTAAAGGGTATCGTTGTGAATCAGACATGCCACCCTACAAATGGTGGGTCGCTTTGGATTACGTGTACGTACAATTTAGGATCTTTTTCCTTTTTCAAAAATTTGTTTTAACCAAAAATAGATTATTTTAATCCAACATTTGTCAGTCCTGATATTCTATTTTTAGATTTTATTTAATTTTTAAACTTTTAGGTTTGTAGATGCTGGTACGGAGAGGGTAAAAAGTGTTCTTAAAGAAATGGAAAATTTTCATCCGATTGGTTCATCAATAATTACGAAACCAGGGGTAGGATATTTATTTTTTTTCTATGGAGGAGAGGAATTTTTAAACAAGAATAAAAAAATAAAACATGAAAATGAAACACTAAATGGGTTTAGGTGTGAAAATCCAATGGCACATATGCGTTAAAAGTAGAATATATATACTATTTTGTACTTTATCAATCATGATCACTTCATGGTAAATACAGTGAAACCCTTAATAACGAATACATCGGAAGAATTTATCATATGTCGTCTTGACAATTTTTCAATGAGTTTTATACTATATTACGTAAATTTAAGTATTTGCGAAAATAATTAAATAGCCATGAATATGCGGTAACGGTTTTAGAGAGTTCCATATAATCATTTTATTAAAAAAAACTAAATATCTGCAACATTCCATTATCAGAAAGTGAAGAATACGACATTTGATGAATTCTTTCGATGTATTCTTTATTAATGGTTTCACTGTTTTATTATGGACGTACAAAAAGTTATCAAAGCCAAATATCGAGACAATAACCAAAGTGATATGAATAGTTTTGATTCACGAGGGGTCGCTGTTACTTGTTGAAAGTCTGTTCTTCCTTTTTTCATGAAAGTTTACAATATTCTAGATGATCAGCACAGAGCCAGCCATGATGTTTGACAGTGTTTATGTTTTCACCAAAGGATTAGAAATGGCTCTAGTCGAGGGTCCAGAACTGCAAATTAGGTTAGTCCAGGGCCCGGAAATACAAATTAGGCTAGTCCAGGGCCCAAAACTACAAATTAGGTTAGTCCAAGGCCCAGAACTACAAATTAGGTAAGTCCAGGGTCCAGAACTTAAAAAAAGGTTAGTTCAAGGTTCATAAGTTGAAATTAGGTTAGTCTTTAGAGTTCAGAACTAGAAATCAGTTATCCTAGGGTCCAGAACTACAAAAACAGGTTAGTCCAGGGTCCAAACTACAAAAACAGGTTAGGACAGGGTCCAAACTACAAAAACAGGTTAGTGCAGGGTCCAGAACTACAAATCAGGTTCGTCCAGGGTCAAGAACTACACAGGTTAGTCCAGGGTCCAGAACTACAAAAAAAGGCTAGCCCAGGGTCCAGAACTACACAAATCAGATTAGTCCAGGGTCCAGAACTTCAGAACAGGTTAGTCCAGGGTCCAGTACTACAAAATCAGGTTAGTCCAGGGTCCAGAACTACAAAAACAGATGAGCCCGGGGTCCAGAACTACAAATCAGGTTCGTCCAGGGTCCAGAACTAGACAGGTTAGTCCAGGGTCCAGAACTACAAAAACAGGCTAGCCCAGGGTCCAGAACTACACAAATCAGGTAAGTCCAGGGTCCAGTACTTCAAAAACAGTTTAGTCCAGAGCCCTAAACCACAAATCAAGTTTTCTAATTATATTATCATTAGTATATTTTATCTTCATTTTTATCATTATCATGATTTCAGGAACTTGTCCTGCGAGGATGAATTACCGTGGAAAGAAGGTTCTACCCTGATCAATTTTATTAACAGTGTTCAGATAGATGGTCTTACTGGGCCTATCAGGTTAGTAGGAAATGGGCCATGCACGAATTTTCATGTGACCCTTCATAATAATTAATTTTTTAAATATTCTTCAGATCAAGGATGATTCAGGTATCCTTATTTTTCTAGTTTAAAATTGTGTAAAAAAGTTTTAAAAAGTTGTAGCATTAGACAGATCATATTCAACAATTACGCAACCAATCTGAAAACGATTATATCCCACAGGAGCCTGAGAATCTCAGGTTTGCTCATATAGTTTTCTTATTTTGCATTTTGTATTTTTAATAGATATAATTGATAATATTATTACAAATAGTCCGTATAGTCCGTAGTACGTCACAATAACTTCAGCCAATGGCAGTGCAGTATTGTTGTACTACGGACTACACGGATTAAATGTAATAATATTATCAATTATATCTATTAAAAATGCAAAATAAAAATTAAACAATTATAATAGGAGTAAACCTGAGATTTTCAGGTTGCTGTGAGATATAGTCGTTTTCAGATTGGTTGCGTAATTGTTGAATATGATCTGTTTAATGCTACAACTACAAAATCTGACATATGTCCTTTTTGGTATAATTTTGGCACAGTTTTATGTCAATTTCTCGAGACAGAAACATAAGATATATGTCTTATAGGTATTGTTCTAAACCTAAAACTCTTAGGCTTTATCCTATACCCCCTTTCATTTTCCTGTACAGTCCCTTTAACGATTATTTAAACTCTACAAAATCTGGTTTCTTTGTCCTGGGATTTCTTTAAACCTTTCCTTTACATTGTTTATCTTGGTTTTGAAGTTAGGATGGTATAAACTATAAAGAAAGGATGATGATAAGTAAGGTTGGTATAAACTATAAAGAAAGGATGATGATAAAGTTAGAGAACTTTTACAATCTATTGTTTGTAAAAAACCTCAAGGATAACATGATCTGAAGGAATAAAAGAGAATTTATTTCTATTTCAAGGATATTCTATTTCAAGAATATTCTATTTCATGGATATTCTATTTCAATGATATTCTATTTCATGGATATTCTATTTCAAGGATATTCTATTTCAAGGATATTCTATTTCAAGGATATTATATTTCAAGGATATTCTATTTCATGGATATTCTATTTCAAGGATATTCTATTTCATGGATATTCTAGTTCAAGGATATTCTATTTCAAGGATATTATATTTGAAGGATATTTTATTTCAAGGATATTCTATTTCAAGGATATTTATACTTCAAGGATATTCTATTTCATGGATATTCTAGTTCACTTCTATTCCATTTCAAGGATGTTCTATTTCAATGATATTATTATGTGATAGCTTTTACATGTCTTCTTTTAGTAGAAATTCACAAGTCACGTTGTTGAGAAACCACAACTTAAAATAATCAGTTTTCAAAATTACTAACATGAATATATAATTCATGCTTGATCAAACAACAACTTTGAAGTGTACCGTTGTGAATCAGAAATTGCCATCTTTACCCGGAAAGTCAGTTTAAATGACGCTGACAGTCTCTTTCTGTAATTGTATACTTTTGTGAGAGTAAAACCTTTTTTTGCCAGTTTGGACAATTTACATTTAAACATTTCTAGAAGGGGTACAGCAGGTTCCCACAGCCTCCTCTCACACTTAGATAAGAAGATTTGAAGAACATTCCTAAACTGGTTCATCAGTTTCTTCACTGAGATCAGTTTACTAAACTTACACTAATCCTTCACATTTATGTTCTCCATGGTAGCAGTTATTATTATGACTCCTTCTATAAAAACTGTGAGAGTAAAACCTTTTTTTGCCAGTTTGGACAATTTACATGTATACTTTTTGTAATAATTTTTTTCAGGTTTAAAGAGGGGAAAAGACACGAATTCAAACTTGATATCCTCAAGCTGAAAAGGGATGTTTTAGAGAAGGTATAAAATGATAATATATCGATAATGCATAATGTCAATAAAGTTTTAAGAATCATTCATGATCAAATCATATAAACATCATATTATGATAATAATTCTAGACATAATTAAAAAAGATGTAGTAAAAATAATAACAATAATGCTAAAAGTAACAAAAGGATGATATTAGTAATAATAATGATACCTAGGTTGGAGAGTGGAGTTCATTAACTAGATTGAATATCACGGATAAATATGCTTTCAGGAAAACTAAATGAATAATCACAGTAGACCCCCCCCCCCTTCACAATGGTTTCCAAAAACCCTGAAGAACTTTACTCTGTAATTTTCATGGGGAAAATCATAAACTTCATTTAAAATAAAATAGAAAACCCAATGTTGCAATTGAATCGAAAAATTGATCAACCTCTATACATTATTGTCCAATAATTTGAATAAATCTGGTATAGCTCTGTGTAACTAGGCATTCTTATATTTCAACTTTTGATTATGGACTTTCAAAATGTTCAAAATTTTACGAAAATCAAAAATTTGTAAAGACAAAGGAAATGAGTTTTTGCAACAAACTCAAATTTTCTAATTCCTATATTTTTGCAACCTGATGATGTAAACCTTTAATATTTCAAACTTATGTTATTAGATCAAACAGAATTCATAGTTTGAAATAACAAATGTCTACGACTTCGGGTTGCAAAGATACACGGATTAAAAAAATTGAGTTTGTGGCAAGAACTCTTCTTTGTGTAATTCTGAGCATTCATAAACCTTCGCTGAGGTCATATGATCAAACACTTTGGGCCCGAACGTTTTGACGTTTTAACGTTTGGTGGATACAAACAGACAGACAAGCACATAATATATATATAGATATAGATCATAGATTCCCTCTGGTTTACTCATGGTTTATGGAGTAGTGAAGGGAGACCATCCAATATAACTCTCAGGGTCCTCTCTAGAATAGAGGAACCTTTTGTTATGTTTAAAAAGGTAAAAAAAAGTGAAAAAATGATCTTACTTTGTTTACAGTTGTAATTCTATTGTTTAACTTTTGAAAAATAAAAAAAAGGTTTATTTACGATGTTTTTGGTCTTTTTGTAAATTTTTGCTAAATTTGAATTAAACCTTTGTTTAGCCGAGTGCGGAGGGTGAAGTACTTTATGGAAATAATCGGTTTGAAGGGTTTTGTGTTGATCTTTTAGAACAGGTAATTTAGAATAACATTTAGCCATGTACTGTTTGTTTGTTCGTATGTCAGATCATAACTGAGGAACCGACCGATTTGCCTCAAATTTTTATTGGGGAACTCGTTAGAATCACGGGAATGTTCTTATTTTGGTTTTAAAATTTCAAGTTAAGTGGTTTGACTTTTATGCTTTATTCCCAAGCTAAAAATAATAAAAATATTTTCTATTTAGATAGCAAACCAGGTAGGGTTCAAGTATTATATTGAACTAGTGCCCGACAATAACTACGGAGCCCTTAACCTTACAACCGGCAAGTGGAACGGTCTTGTCAGGGTAAGTGAATATCAAACATAATCCTATTGTAAAGGAGGGTTTATGCTTTTTGAAAGAAGGTTCGGGAAATACAGTCCTATTCTTAAAAACCCCGGAATACTATTGATTGATAAACTTCAAAGTCGTTTTTTACCATAGCAATAGGTTTCGGCATTAATAAAATATATAAATAATGGTATCACTGATCATTCGTCCATCATCGTCGTCCTGCATCAAAGGGGTTTCAAAAAATTCCAATTTTAATTTATCTCCAAACACATTCAAATGAGTTTTTGTTTTTGGAATTTATGGTGGGGAATGCTGATATTGCTGATATTGTTTATGAATTATGGAGGAGAATGCTGATATTACTGATATTGTTTAGGAATTAATGGAGGGGAATGCTGATATTGTTTAGGAATTAATGGAGAGGAATGCTGATATTGCTGATATTGTTTAGGAATTAATATTGCTGATATTGTTTAGGAATTAATGGAGGGGAATGCTAATATTGCTGATATTGTTTAGGAATTAATGGAGGGGAATGCTGATATTGCTGATATTGCTTAGGAATTAATGGAGAGGAATGCTGATATTGCTGATATTGTTTAGGAATTAATGCAGGGGAATGCTGATATTGCTGATATTGTTTAGGAATTAATGGAGGGGAATGCTGATATTGCTGATATTGTTTAGGAATTAATGGAGGGGAATGCTGATATTGCTAATATTGTTTAGGAATTAATGAAGGGGAATGCTGATATTGCTAATATTGTCTAGGAATTAATGAAGGGGAATGCTGAATGCTTATATTGCTGATATTGTTTAGGAATTAATGGAGGGGAATGCTTTTATTGCTGATATTGTTTAGGAATTAATGGAGGGGAATGCTGATATTGCTGTTGGAGCGATGACAATTAACTTCGCCAGGGAGAGTGTAATCGACTTTACTAAGGTGATTTGGGGACATCTAGCTGTTTAGAGGCGTTTAGGGAAAATATGCATTTTCAACTTTTTTTGATATTTACAAAAAATCTAGTCTTTAAACTTGTTAACATGATTTTGATATTTCCATCAAATATAATAATGATGTTATGAAGATTTAAAAGTCGACTCAACCTTTCAACTTGGAGAATACACAAAATATTAATGAAAAGTTGTCGATTTTTATATTTTTGCAAGTCCCTTTGTAAAGGATTCGATTCTTTGCCACAAATTCTGATTTTCTAATCCCTATATCTTTGCAACCCCATGTTGTAGACTTTGAATTGTTTAAACAATGAATTTTATTGAATAATCTAATAGAATAATTTTTGTTTGAAATATCAAAGATTTACACCATCTGGTTGAAACGATATACAAGGATTAGAAAATTTAAGTTTGTGGAAAAATAAATCTTTTCTTTAACAGATGAATTCGAGATATTTGGGTGTTATGATGTACGCAGAAACAATGGAGACTTGATGAGCAAATTTTAAAGCTAAAATTGGTGCTAGAAAAAACTAGTAATGTTTTCCAGGAAAATAAAAAAATTGTTTCAGCCGTTCATGAACCTGGGTATCTCTATCCTATTCAAGATCCCCAGTGGGAAACCTACCAGACTCTTCAGCTTCATGAATCCCCTAGCTATAGAGATATGGCTGTAAGCATAAACCTTTTAATTATCTTTCTTAGGGTTCTAGAGTTTTATTTACTTTTTTTTAATAAATATTTGCTATAACCTTTATAAACTTTTTTATAATGTTTATGTCCAGAGCTGAAAACTTTAGGATTAGATACCCTTAATCACATTTGCTTAATCACGGTGGAAACTTTTGATTTTCTTAATCCTTGTTTGGATTTCCCTGCTGGGTTCTCTCATTGATTGCGGGCTAAATTTCCCGGTTTCCGATAGGCTGTTCGGTTTGTTCAAATGACACTCTGATTGGTGTAATTTTAGACTCTGTCCTGGATATCAAAATACAGATTATATTAATCTGCAGATTAACAAAACAATAAGATCAAGCATTAATCTCGATATCCACAATACAAAAAATTTCAGCTCTGCCCATTTTTTTAAAATTTTCATTTTGTTCTATTCAGTGTTTATTCAAAGTTTCGGTTTCTTAATTGTATTAAAATTACCGTTTTTTTATGAATTTCAATATTTCAAATTTGACTAAATTATTTTTTCTCTTTTCTCCTTATCTTTCAGAAATAGTAGTTTTACAGTTGTGATATATTTTATATATTTGTCACAATGCAGTTTCTGTTTTCTCATATTTCTTTACTTTTAAAATAAGTCACTAATTTATTAACGTGATTTATTTGAAAATTAAAATAATATTTTTATCTGATTTTTCCCTTCTAGGTATGTTTTGGCTGCTTATGTTCTTGTCTCTTTGACTCTGTTTGTTATGGCAAGATTCTCTCCTTACGAATGGAACAATCCGCACCCCTGTGTAGTTGGTAGGCTAGGAGTTTGTGGCAAAGATTAAGTTCCTGTTTTTATATTTCCCATGTTTAGATAACGACGTGATGGAGAACCAGTTTAGTATCAACAACAGTTTCTGGTTTATTACAGGCACATTTCTCAGGCAGGGGTCAGGCCTTAATCCTAAGGTGAGAATTAGATACAATGCAGATGTTATTTGACTTTTGAAAATTAGAAAGAAAACAATTATTATCTGTGTAAAAGACCTTATTTTAAAAAATCTATGGCTGTTTCAATGTTTCAAAATTTACAGTTGTTTACAACGGTAGCCATTGGCAATGCATAAAACGTTTTTTAACGTTTAATTTAACTTTTGAACACATTCCTCCGTGCCTGTTTATCAGCTATCTGAAAAGTGATAAAAGTATTTGTGAGAAAAAAATTGATGAATTTATCCCCTTTTCAGATAAAAAAATAAGAATATCTTCCTCATTTGGGAGAATTGAATTTAATAATTTTGCCTCTGGGGATATAGGCACTCGGGACAAAACCTTTAGGAACATCTTAAGATCATAATATTTAGAGTTTTGTGGCGGATATGAATGTCGTCATCCGAGTTGTTTCTAGAGAAATCCAAGGGGGCGGATTCTATCAGCTGATTCTACTTGTGATATTTTATTCGAGATATTTCTTTCTTTATTTACTATATAGATTTAGATTTTCAATAAAGTTAATCGTTCAGAACTCTTTTTCCTGTTCAGTCGTAGCACGCCAAATTGGTGACCCCGGACTTTTGAATACGTTTTCTAAATTCTGCAACAAACAAACCACAGTTATTTCAGTTATTCAGTTATTAGTGAATATAAATTCAGCATTGAGAATAACTAACCTGTNTCATCCGAGTTGTTTCTAGAGAAATCCAAGGGGGCGGATTCTATCAGCTGATTCTACTTGTGATATTTTATTCGAGATATTTCTTTCTTTATTTACTATATAGATTTAGATTTTCAATAAAGTTAATCGTTCAGAACTCTTTTTCCTGTTCAGTCGTAGCACGCCAAAGTTTCATTCATTCATTAGTTTCATTCAACGGTTGTATGTTTTATAACAAAATACTCTTTTCCATTTTCTAGTCAATATAACTTGTTATTTAGGCCGCGTCAACTAGAATAGTTGGGGCTATCTGGTGGTTCTTCACCTTGATTATTATCAGGTGAATTATTTATTTAAATTTTCATTTTTAAACTTTTTATGCTATGTCACTTTTTAGTTTCATTTTTTATATATCGATTTATATATCGAGTGCAATTTACATTCCTTCATAAACAGCTAATGTTTTGCTATGCAACCATTCTAATTCAATCCCGCTAATCTTAAAACTTTTTAATCATGTTAATAACAGCTTTTTATAAAAGGTGTCATTTATTCTCTGATTCAATGATAACCCCGAGGGCGTATTTACTTTACTATACATCGTCAGTAGAAACATTTAAATAACATTTTAAAAAGAATATTTTCAAAAATATCATTTATTTTTAATTTGTATATTTTAGCTCGTATACTGCCAACCTTGCAGCTTTCCTAACAGTAGACAAGATGATTACACCGATAGAAAATGCCGAGGATTTAGGTTAATATTAATTTTCGTATTATCTTATTTGTTAATAATTATAATCACATATATTTTAAACAATTTTATGGAATTCAAAATTTTCTAGCACGACAGAAGGAGATATCATATGGAACTCTTAGTGGTGGTTCAACAATGACATTCTTTAGGAACATTTTCAAATATTTCATCAAACAATATTTAAATATTTTAACAGTACAATAATGTAATATTTCGTCATACTATGATCAAATATTTTAATATTACATTAAACAACATTTAAATAGTTTAAAAAACAATTCAAATATTTCATTAAAACATAACCAAACATTTCGTTCAATAAAATTTTTTTTAATTTAATTCAATTATTTTGTATAGTACAATTCATAATTTCATAAATCATGGTAAATCGGAGGTGCTGGTTAAAACTCGGTGAATTTTAACTTAAGAACCCATTTTCAATAAAGGTTGTTTTGTGATAGGATATGTTTATGTGATATATTGTTACGAATATGATATGTTTATGTGATATATTGTTAAGAATATGATATGTTTATGTGACATATTGTTACGAATATGATATGTTTATGCGATATATCGTTAAGAATATGATATGTTTTTCTGATATATTGTTACGAATATGATATGTTTATGCGATTAAGAATATGATATGTTTATGTGATATATTGTTACGAATATGATATGTTAATGTGATATATTGTTAAGAATATGATATGTTTATGTGATATATTATTAAGATATTTTGTAGAGAATAATCTATTAATATTTTGTTAATCGAAAATTTTGAAAGTGCATAATCAATAATTATTTGACAGAATACTCTCTTTATTACATATTTTTTATATTACATCTTAAAATTTTAATCATGTGGATTTGACAACATCTGAATCTCAAGTTTACATGTAACAAATTGGAATTCACTGTTTAAAAGTTTGAAATGTTCTCAGAGATTCTAAGATAAAAACCTATCAGAAGATGTGGTCCTACATGGAATACAAGAAACCTTCTGTATTTGTAAACAACTACGTAGAAGGGGTCGCCAGGGTTAAGAAGGTAAAAAGTAAAGACAATAAATAAAAATTCATAATTTTTCTCAAAATATTTGTGTACTTTATCATTTATTATTACTTCATTGTAAACTTCATTATAGACGTTATATAAAGTAATCATCGTGCTATAATGTTAAATTATCTTTAAACTATAGCTTTTCTAAAAATAATTGGATATTTCTATTTTAAACAATCAATTTAAATAAAAAATAAAATTGAATTTAACTCATATTTTTATCACATATTATCTTATCTTATCTGGAAATACCTATTGCACCAGGACATGTACACAAGCTTTTCATAAATAAATTGAACCTTCGGGATACAGAGAAAATTTAAGTCTAAAACTTTGTTACACGTCTTGCCAAAATGATTGTGTTATAAAAACTAAGTATTCCATTTCTTGACACAAAACTGTACATTGAAGATGGAAAAATCACAACAGATCTCTACAGAAAACCCACAGATAGATGCATATACCTACTTCCATCATCTTGCCACCCAGCACATATTTCTAACAACATACCTTATTCACTTGCATACAGAATTGTACGAATTTGCAGCAAACCAGAACTTAGGGATGCCCAATTATTTTTTTAATCGATTTTGATGGTTATTATATCGTTAGAACTGACGAGGGTCAACCCAGACCGAAATATATTTTAAATAAATGTGGAAATAAAATCTACTTTTTTACTCTACAGAGGTTTGGTCCATCACCATCACTGAATTTTAAAAAAACTAAATTATAATTCTATTTTTTAGGGAAATTTTGCATTTTTGATGGAATCTACAATGCTTGATTATGTTGTTCAACGGGATTGTAACCTAACACAGATCGGTGGTCTTCTAGACAGTAAAGGGTAAACGTTTTAGAAAGTTTTTAGATCATAGAAAGAATAATTTCATAATTGTTTTACTGTGTACTAGATATCTATATATATATATAATATGTGATATCTGTTTGTTTGTTTGTATGTCCGATCATAACTCAGGAACCCCTTAACCACGGGAATGTTCTTAGCTTGGTTTAAAAGGTCTAAGGTGAAAAGGTTGACTCTTATAAAGAAAACTTAAATTTCAGGCCAAGCTGGGTTCCCAAGCTAGTTTTAAAATAAACTAAAATTGGCATGTTTAGGTATGGAATTGCAACTCCAAAAGGTTCTAAATGGAGGGACCCGATATCATTGGCGATCCTAGAGTTACAGGTGCAAAACGTTTAAAATAACTTTCTGTCTTCATTTGCATTTAAAAACAAGTTTTTACGGTTTTTGATTGTATCAGGAGAAAGGAACAATCCAGATGTTGTACAATAAGTGGTGGAAGAATACAGGAGATGTGTGTACAAGACAGGTATTTGGTTCTTTGTATTTTAGATCTACATTTCCGAAACAAATAGAAACTATTTTAAAGGGACTGTCCTTGTAATTTAAATTGGCCTTCTACTTATAAAAAAAGGCATGCCCGATCATACTTTTATCTGATCAATAATGTAAAGAGAAAACAAAAAATAGTCAATTTTCAAAACAAAAATTATTCATGTTATTTCAAGCTTGGCCTTCCATTGAAAAGGGGACATACTTAGTTCACAACAATACCATTAAAACTTTCAATAATATAAAAGACATAGTTTTTTATCTTAAAAAAGTAATGTTTTAGAGAAACCAAAAATAGTCAAGTTGTAAAGATTTGATCAGATAAAAAATTTAAGGGTAACGCACGCACCTCTGCCCTTTAGTAAAAGTAAATTCAACCTATATGAAGCATAAAGTCTGATCGCGTCAACCTTGTTGCACCGACTAGTCCTGCCCATAGAGCTATGTACAGTACAAACTGGGACCTGAAAGGTTGACCCGTCTCGGAAATTCAAATGTATCACGGCTGCCCGTGAACGGTCGTTATATCAAAGTTAAAACAAAAGCTTTGATGGTTTTTGATAGACCAAAATTTTTAGCTTTTTAATTATTTTTAAATAAACATTTTTCCAGGATAAGAGTAAGGACTCTAAAGCACATCCCCTGAGTGTTCAGAATATAGGAGGAGTTTTCGTTGTTCTTCTTTGTGGACTTGCATTGGCTATCATGGTAACTTCTTCTTTTTCTGATGTAACGTCAATTTCTTTTTGTTTGACATGGAATCTAACAAAAAATCGGTTTTATTAATTACTAGCTGAAAAGCCCGGCGTTGCCCGTGAAGAAAATTTTTTTTTTAAATTTTAAACAGATTAATTATTTTTTTGAAAAAAATAATTTTCGAATTTTTTTTCAGCCAANACCCTGTTCTATTGATTATTCAGTAACATGTACATGTATTTGTATTATTTAGGAACCTATAGTACCCTCTTCTATTGATTACTCAGTAACATGTACATGTATTTATATTATTTAGGAACCTATGTACCCTCTACTGTTGATTTCCCAATAACAAACGGAGATAAAGGATTTGGATTCAGTAATCCATACGAGGGTAATTATTTTTTTCAATTAAACAAACTCCAAGGTTTTCAAAAAAAATGCATGGCAATTACATGACAAATTTTCAATCGTTATGTAATGCTTTACGATTCATTTTTTGCGTGATCACACAAGACTTTTCTACATTTGTTCTGTGCCCTTATTTTCTATCGGAAATCAACGACGATTTCAAGTCGTCTTCTGAAGTTCAAATATTTATAGTGATATGAAAATGTTTGATATGTTTGTAAACTAAAATATTTATCTGAACGAATGGACTGAAAGCGTGATTTTATATGACCCTCTTATGGCAATGTCCAATTTACAACGGTGCCCTTGAAAGCTTTGTATGATCAAGTTTGAATTAGATATATCAACGTTTTATTTTCTTTTTTAATGTTTGTTTTCATTTTTGATTTCTCTGCCACTTTCGCATTTACTGCGTAACTGAAACAATGGAAAAATTATCAGATTGTTAACCTTTTTGGGTTAGTATACTAAAATAAAACATTTTTTATCAGATCGAGAATTTAAGGGTATCGTTGTAAATCGTGATTGCCATCTTTGCATGGAGGGACATTTGAAATTACGCTTACAGTCCCTTTATATAAATCATTTTCAGGTCAGCCTCATTCAACAAACTCGCACAACGGGCACAACCATCCACTCGAGCATTTATATAGAGATTAGATAAACTCAGAAATAATATTAAATGTCGTCGTCTAACACTTGGATATTTTACATAACAGGCACAGTACTGTACTGTACAGTGATATCGCCTGTCTAGTCTTCATGTTTTTCATCAGTCCTGTCCCTGCTGATTTAATCTACAAAACAAGATATTGATTAAAAGTTTGAAGCACATAGTGTAAATGAAAACGTTATTATTTACGAAACATTTTTCTAGAATGTATGTTTGATATTTTCATCTATTTTCGCATATTTGCGAAAAATTTGCTACGTTTTCTGATAGTTTTTAAATGGCCTTAATTAAAACCCAAATTCAAAGGGCTTAGTTTTAAGCTAAAATTGAAATATTTCTGTATTTTATACAATTATATAAAATACAGGTACATTGTGCCACTTTATCTTTGTATTAAGATACAAACTTTGTGCCAAAATGTGAATAGATGTGTTGATATACAACGTGTGTGCCAAATTATGAACAAATTTATGTGTTTTTAAACATGTTTAATAGAATCATATTGAACAAAATTAACCATTATATAGAGATAATTCTTAGGAATTAAAAAGTTTACCATGGTATTGGAATAAACAATAAGAAAACAATTGTAACACTTTATTTTGACTGGCCAAGTTTATTATTACATATTATTAGCATCAAATATTAAAGAGAATATTTCGAAACCTTACCACCAGTTCAAATTTGAGTCACCGATTAAAATCTTCTTCCTCAACTTTTAACTTTTAATCGATGGTTCAAATTTGAGCCGGCAGCTTTAGCCTGCTTATAGCTTTAAAGACAAGGTCGATTTTGAAGTGTCGCAACGCCTTAGGCTTTAATTTTACCGCTCTAGCAAGTATATTGGTCATTAAACATGCATATTACCTACAAGCTGAAGTGCCCAGGCTTGTGTGTATACATTTAAAAAACATTTTTTTTAAATCAAATTTTTAAGTCTATGTTACCCCGAGGGTTTTCTCTTTAAAAATTAGCCAATTTGGTCCAGCCGTTTGGCCAGCTTTAACTAACATATATGATCAGAGAACTTACGTTGTGGATTATTATGTAGATTATTATGTAGATTATTATGTAGATTATTATGTAGATTATTATGTAGATTATTATGTAGATTATTATGTAGATTTGTGAACCATATCCCTCAAACTTCCCCTTTTGTAAGGTCGTCTCCGTCAAACTGTATCTCCGNGTAGATTATTATGTGGATTATTATGTAGATTATTATGTAGATTTTTATGTAGATTATGATGCAGATTATTATGTTGATTATTATGTAGATTATTATGTGGATTATTATGTAGATTATTATGTAGATTATTATGTAGGTTATTATGTAGATTATTATCTTTTCTTGTGTTGCAAATTCTCTAGTTTTAGTTTGTTAACTTTCGAAATAAAGAAATTCTCTGTGGCTTACCAAAATATCAGAGATAATCAGAAAACTCTAAAATAGGAAGAAGATTTTTAGAATCAAGTCCAATGAGCTTGAGGCATAGAAATTTTGCAGTGTAGACGGTCCATTTCACTAGAATACTGATTTAATAAGTGTTTAGTAAACATTTGCTTTGTAACATTTTATTAACATTTAGTATTGCTATAATGTCGTAATCCTATTTCTTTTTTTTCTGGTTATCACTGTATATTGAACGTCAGAAATAAATCTGTAAAATGTGCATGAAGGTATAGGTATTGTTCACGTGGTGGAAAATATTGCATGATCAATAGTAATTTAGAAAACATTTAAAATAATTATTTTAGAGATAGATAGATCCGAAAATATTTACGTAGATAGAGCTCAAGACAGGAGTTCAAATTTAAGAAAACTAGGCTTTTACTTCTATTTCAACTTTTAATTGTGGCTTTATCTGTAAGCATCTTCTCTTTGTAACAGCATAAAACAAAAACAAAAAAGTTTTCGGATTTCATAATATTTTTTCGCGCATTTTCAAAATTTTACAAAAATAAAAACTTTTAAACACAAATTTTTAAAATTTTGATCATTCATAAACCTTCCCTGGGGTCACGTGAGGTTCCACACAAAATTTGAGCCCGATCGGTTGAGCCGTTTTGACGTTTATTGGATACAAACAAACAGACAGACAAGCTAAATTTATTTAAGGAAATTATGAAACCTGGTTTTTATAATTCTCTTAGATTTTACAGTGCGTTTTTGTAAACAAAAATATAGACCGGGTATTTGTGTATACGGTTTTTTATGCAGTTAGACGAATAACTTCAAACTTGATAAATACATAGATAAATGCTTATTCAGATAAAAAGATAAATCATCAAAAACAGAAGAAAAAAATTAAGAAATATATATATATATATATATATATATGCCACTGTGAACATAATAGAGTTTAGGCTTCATTAGTGGTACGACTTTGCGACATTTTGCCACATCTAGTTGTTACTAAACGCACGTGCAATTTATTTTGGCTTGCCGTGAAATTATGAAACTTGCTACGTAATACGTATACGCATCCTGGTTCATCACCATCTCTAAACTTTACAGTACACTGTTTTTTTAAACAAAAATATGGACCGGGTTCCATACGGTTCTTGATAATCACATAATTCTAACAATTCATTATTTTTATTTTTTTTATTTTTTAAATTGGATACAGTTGATACAGAAAATTCTATTTTGTTTCATCTTGTCATCGTTTCTTCTTCCTTTCTTTTACTTACTGTCCCTGAACAGATAATTAAATAAAATATCGAAGAAATACAAAAATATGTTACTTTTGTTTAGAATATTTGTGCCAAAAAAAAACAAGCAAAACGAAAGTAATTAATAAACAGGAAAACACTGATTCTTGGAATTTTGTAAAAACATTAAAGTTTAAAATGTTCTCGATTGTTTTAAACAGGAACAACATTAAATCATAAAAGTTTTATCAATTGATTTTTATCAATTTTCTTTAAATATTCTTTGCGTATCATTATAATGATTGTTTTTATAAGTACAAAACAAACATGCAGTGTTTTCAGAAGAAGAAAAACGAAGAGAACAATTAGTCCGCTATTAATTGGTCAGTCCTAAACTCCTAAATAATGAATATGTAATAATGTATATGTACATTGTTTTAGAAGTAAATTGGTTGGAATGATTATCCTGCTATCATTAAATGTCAATATACAGTATACAGTACAGTACTATTTCGGTTCACTACATCATTAGCGGTTGTAAGAAATGACAGGGAAATGGTGGTCTGAAATCCCCCCCGCCCCTTCTTACATTGGAATGTGGTGAATAGTGGTCAGATTTGTTGAATATGTTTTGTATGACCCCTGGAGACCATTAGAACCAATTAGATTCCATTTATGTTGAGTACAATCTTTTTTTTCAATCTATCCAATATACTTTATCTATACCTGCCATCTTTCAACATTAGTTAGCTAGCTATCCACCTATTTTTCAACACTGTTAGCTTGCTATCCAGCTATCTTTCAACACTAGCTAGTTAGCTATCTAGCTGTCTTTCGACAGTATTTAGCTAGCTATCCAGCTATCCTTTAACATCAGTAAGGGTTTTCCAGCTATTCAACTATCTTTTAACACTAGTTATCTAGCTATCCAGCCATCTTTCAACACTAGTTAGCTATTATCTAGATATCTTTCAACTCCAATTAGTTAGCTATTACTAGCTATCCTTCAACACTTGCTAGTTAGATATCCAGCTATCTATCAACACTACTTAGCTATCTATCGAACTATCTTACAACACTATTTAGTTATCTATCCATCTATCTTTAAACACCAGCTAGTTAGCTATCCATGTATCTCTTAACACTCCTTAGCTAGCTATCCATCTGTCACTTAGCATTAGTTAACTAGCTTTCTAGCTTTCCTTCAACACTAGTTAGTTATCTAGCTATCTCATAAAATTAGTTATCCAGCTATCCTTCTATAAATAAATGAACCATAATAATAACCATGAATCAAGATACAAATCATAAAAACAATTTATCTAATGACCATGAATCAAGACACTTGGATTTTTAAAAAAATTAACTCTACATTTTTTCACTCTTCCGCTGAGCCGCCCCCCCCCCCCTCCCCCTCCATGATTTTATTGGTTACTTGACTAAAAAAGGAAAGAAAGATTTAGTTTAATGTTTTGTGGAGCTGACTGTATCAAATCAGGTTCTTCTGACAGATGTTTAACTCCTTGTTTTATTGATGCTAACCCTCCCCAAGCTACACTGATTGATTTATTGATGATTGATTGCAAGAATTTAAATTGATTTTATCAGAGTTGAATAATCAAATCTCGACAGGGGTGCATTTTTTACCCGGGAGCGTAATCAATAATAATATATTATATGTATTTTCCAACCTCTATTTCAACAAACTTTTGGCATCAAAATCAATTCATATTTTTGTGTGTTTCTCAGTTTGTCTTTATTTTCCTGCAGCACATGGCTTTAATTGATATTTTCTCAATTAAAGTTTTAAATCATCAACCGATATATTTTTTGAAGAAAATTGGCAAAATTTGATTGAGTTTCCCTGCTTAAGGCCCTATCTTTCTATCCATATATGTGTATTGTTAGATTAGACAGTTCGCAGATCGATCCTTTATTATCTATTTACAGAATAGAGATAGATGTATATAGTAATACTATATATGTATAGATAAAACAGGTAGACAGATAGATAGTATGTCAATTTACATTTTTATAATTTTGAAAAAAGATTGTCTTAAAAGTTGTCAACTGGCCGGCCGAGAGAAATATTTCAGATTTTTTTGTGAAAAGGGCGTGAAGCAGTAGAAATTTTTGAAAAATCAAAAAATCAAAAGTTTAAATAAAAATGGTGTCGTAACTACTTCTTATATATAAATATATTTCCAAAAGTTGTGTCGTGAATGATTTTTACATCTTTGTTAATTTTTTGTTAAAGGTTTTTTAAAAAAACATAAAAAAGAAAAACAACAAAAAACTTAAAAATTAAAAAAATCAAAAAATCAAAAGTTTAAATAAAAATGGTGTCGTAACTACTTCTTATATATAAATATATTTCCTAAAGTTGTGTCGTGAATGATTTATACATTTTTATTAAATTTTTGTTATGAATCTCTTGATATAACATGTTCATATAGGTCTGGAGATTTCAGACCGCTATATTCTAAATTCATATTGTTTCCTTTCTATGTCAAATTTAAAAATTTAAACAAAACTCCTTTAATGTTAATTTCTCACCTCAAAATGCAATTTGTTTTCGATTAATTATCCACAAAATGTTTGTTAAACTAAATAGTTTTGATAAATAAAAATCATTTAATTTCACTTTTTCAAAACTTATTTTTTCAGAACCATGAACCCAATATACACCATATTATGGGCTATAATGTCAACATTTCAGCATATTTACAACAACACAGGGACTGTGGTAAGAAACCTGGGCCAAAAACTAGTTTTAGTTTGTAATTCTATAAAACGTCATGCTAAAGATCTATTGGTTGAGAATAAAACATTTAACATATCATCTGGAACTGATTTTAACAGAAATTGGAAAACCTTCAAAACAAACATAAAAAATGAATTGAGTAACTTAAATATTAAAAAGCAAACTTTGAACCTTATAGGAAATATTCCAAGTCCATCATTAAATACCAGATTTGATCAAAATATTGACAAGATAACAAAGAAAATTGAATATCAAATATGGGCCAATATTAAATGCATAATGAGCGAACTAGCAACAAAAGAAATGGAAAACATCATTAAAGACTTAAAAGGCGAAAGTTTTTTCAATCTGTCGAGCGATACTATGAAAACAGAACTGGCCGAATATATTAAACTGGGTAAAAAATTTACACCCTATTGTAAAGTCAATATAAAACACGAATTGGAGTTATTTGAACAAGAAATAACTAAGATTGTAAATCAGCTTGTGTGGAAAGAATCCCAATATATCAAAACCAAAAATATATTCGTCAGGTTCAGACTGCTTCAAAAAACCAGTTTTGTGAAACAAAACCCAGAGATTAGTTTGCTGTTATCCTCAATTTTAAAAAATTATAAAAAAGAAAGAATACAATTTAAAATGCAGTTAAAAAACAAAAACTACGGTAATCTCGCGACAAAAAAGGAAATCGAAGAAGTGGTTAAACCAAATTCTGACCAAATTGTGGTGGCAGCAGATAAAAATGTGGGTTATGTTTGTATGGATAAAACCGACCTCTTAGCACAATATGATAAAATAAATGCTAAACAACATTTTGGTAAAGCTCAAATAACCGAAGACTGGTACTTGGAAAACATAAAACAATATCTACAACAAGCCTCCGAAAACATCCCAGACGAGTTAGCAAATATAGTTTCATGTACTGATTTTAAATGGACCGAGAAAAAATCTGAAATTGGCACTTTAAGATTAATGCCTAAAATACTCAAATTAAAACGTATATCAAAAGAAAACGTAGAAAACCTGAATTGCAGAGGCATTAAAAGCTCAATGCACGATCCCTTAAAAATAGTGCAAAAAGCTTTGGACAAAATATATAGCCATTTACTCTATTTTATAGAAAACGAGTTCTGGAGACGGTATGGACGACTATCACCCTCGGTAACTGGAATTGAGGAAGCAATAGAAAGAATTAAAAAAACACACACAGGTAACTGGGGCGAATCATTAGAACTAGAAGGTGATTTTGGAGACTTGTATTCCAATTGCAACAAAGAATTATTGGAAGAATGTTTAAAACAAAGCTGCCAATTAGCTAAATTTTCACAGGAATCAATAGAGTTTATTCTAAACTTAATGTCAGTATCAATGAACCATTCATACTTCAAAGAACCGAAGGGGATTTATAAAACACTAAAGGGTTTTTCAATGGGAGACAACTCTGCTGCGAGAGGCAGCGAATTAATCCTCAGAATTTTCGAATTAAAGATATTCAAAAAATTACAAGAACGCAAACTACATAAAAATGTAAACAGATATTTAAGATTTCGTGATGATGTTTCATTACACATTATAGGAAGCCCGGAAACAATGCTCAAAATAGTTAAAATTATAACAACAGGTTACCCAGATGCTATACAATTCAACGTCGAAACTAAGATTATATATGGGAAGTTCCTAAATATTAAAATTTTCAACAACCCCTCAACTACAAAACCGGTAACAACGGTATTAAGAAAATCCAACTCAAAATATGATATAATTCCATTTAACTCTAATATAAGCCCAAAATATAAAAAAATGGCAGGTTTATGCTATTTCAAAACAAACAAGACACATACAACATCAGAAGAAGAACTAGGTCGGCAAAATGACATAGTTACTGCTATTCTAAAACAAAAAGGTTTTCCGTCAAATTTCATTAAAAAACTAGCTAAAACACCAAAAGACAAAGAAATAAAAGAGAAAAAGAAGTTTACCGGAGTTACAGTTTTTGACAGCATCAGTATGAGACACAAATTTGTTAAAAACGTAATAAAAAACTCAACAATAAACAAAGAAGTTTATTACCTACCTACAGAAATCCCAGGAACAAAATTAGAACAATTTATCTTCACAATTAAGAAAATGAAAAACCAACTGGGTTTTTAAATCAATCCTCATCAAAAACAAACTAGGTCTATAAAATTAACATAAACATTACAACGAGTTTTTTCCGGGTTTTTTCTGCAAATGGAAAAAAGCAACAAAGGAAAATTGGTCCCCGAAGCATGGGTCCGGTGTTCATGGAGCACCGGACCCATGTGGGGGTTTTCCCATTGAAAACGGGAAAACCAATCCGACAATGACCGGTGCTCCATTGCATTGGCACACATGAAAAGACCAATGTTCCTTTCGAGCAAATTTTGATCTTACCAAAATATAAACATATGGATTTTTCAAACTTAGTTATGAAATTTTAAACTAGCTTTCAAAACATTATCATTATTGCAAAGGAAAATTAAACTTTAACAAAATTTAATTATTGTAATACAGGAAAATTCACGAAATATTTAATTTTGCAATTCAAGAGTTAATTTTTTAAAAATTTTTTAATTTTTATTTTTTAATTTTTTAAGTATAAATTTTTTTAATTTTTGAATTTTTAAATTTTTTAAATAACAAATATCTATTTTTTAGGCAACCTCGGCAAATTTTGGATGAAAACATTAACTTCAGGCACAATATGTTAATTTTATATGGTAATTTTTAATCTCAAACAACCAAAGGATGGCCATTCTAGGTAATACTTCAAAGAGAATGAGAACTTTTATATTATTCCAAGCCTGGAGAATTAATGGTTAGAGTTAATGTTACTGAGCCCGCATTGTTTCTATCTGCTAGACTTTCCTATACTTTTTAGTACAGGATAAACAAGGTTTGATAGACTTAGCCGTAAATTAACCAGGAGAAATCCTGCGCCTATACATTTTTCGAAATGTGTAATCTATAAACATGATTTAGTATTACTTTAGCTATCAAGAATTATATATATCTGTAAGTATGTTGCCTATAAAGTCAATCTGAAACCAGTCATTGCATTGTAACCAAGTAGAATACAAATATGTTTATTTGATTCCTCCCAACATATATATTTATCATTTTATAACAACAACAGGGTGTTTCATGATATTTGCTACGTTTTTTTTCAGTTTTATTCCAGGAACAATAGGACAGATCGACTGGAAGATGATAAGAAATAAAAAATGAATTTTATAATTTGTTTTTTTATAAATGTTCTCCTTACTCTCTTGGCAATCGGACACCGAAGAACGTGATAACTTTAAATTACAAAAAATATAAATTGGTTTTTATATTTCGTGATTTTGATTTTAGTTTTTAACCAAATAAATTGATTTATAATAAAGAGAAATTTAATAAGGATATTCCTAAATTATATATATATGTGTATGATATGAATGAACTATTTTTAAAGGGACAGACCGGCTATGTAAGGTTGCTAGACTGAGTATGTAGGAACATATTTCTCAAAAGAAATTTGTCAATTAATCAATGCTAGAATCAATCATTTCGTTTTCATTTTTATATTGAATTTCTTATTTTCTATGAATTTGTTCGCAGATTTCTACAAATTCTTCAAATGTCACCTTTTCAATAATAATTTCAGAAAATCTGCAGAAAATATTTGTGAATAATGAGAAACTAGAATAATGGGAAAATAGAAACTAATAATTGAACAATTGAATATTTTCGATGATAAGATTAATTTTTATTTTCTCAACCTGTTCCTAAATAACTAATTACTTTACTGAAGAATTTTGTTTACATTTTTTGTCGTCGTTATTTAATAATTTTAAAAAAAAACAATTCTTAAAACGTTTACACCCAAAAGTACGATTTTGAACGCCAACTTTGCGCTCAAACTTAGGATTTACAGATCTGTTATATGTCTCAAATGAATCCTAAAGAAGTTGTCCACAATACTGCATACTCAGTTCTACTACCTTTCATAGCCGGTCGGTCCCTTTAAAATACCTTAAATATATATATATATTTATTTCCAGCCCGAACTCTTCAAATTGGTGCTGTTTTTGCAAAAGGATTCGCCGAATAAAAATGATGAAATGCAAATCTAAAAATTGCTACGGTTCAAATTGCATGCATTAGCAAACCACTTCTAAATTGTATGTGATTTAGCAGACCTGCGTCCTGGAGAGAAACCCCTGCAACTTGAATATTTACATCTTTTCTTTACTTCTCGATGGAGTCTCAGATAAAACGAATAAGTATATTTAGAATAGATTTATCTTCATGATGTTTAAAATAGGAGCTACAAAATTAGATAGATTTTAATTTGAGGCTTCTGAGACTTCTTTGAGAAATTTTTATTAAATGTTAAACACCAATTACATCTCGCCATATAACAGCTCGCCTAGTAACATTTTGCCATATAACAACAACTCGCCTATATATAGATTTTATTTACATTCTTCAGCTATATTAATAATTAAGTAGATTTAAATTTAGCTTCCTCGTTGAAGTTCATGTCCAATCATTTGAATGTATTCTTGAGGAGGGGTGGTATTGAAGCTTGTCACAAGAAACTTGATCCTTTGAATGTTGTCCAGGGCAACCTGCTTCCTGCCTGTGTTTACGTGGATGTCCTGACCGACAGAGTTTGACAGAAACACACGTCGTGTGTTTGCTTCCTGGGATCTAACAAGCTTTAGAAAGTCCCAAACATGTGTCTTTGCTCCAACTAAACTGTTAATCTTCCTGTTATAGCTTTCAAGCAAATTGTTGGTCTGTGGACCACGCTGCAGTATAGTTTTGATTCCATAGATTTGGAGCAAACAATGCAGAATTGCCTCCTCTACGCTCAATCCAGGTTTTGCGGAAGTATACAACAAATACTTGAATTTCTTCCTCAAAGTCGGCCCATTCCTCATCTATTTCCAAGGTATTCTAAATATTCTCAGGATGGTTTCCCCAAGATGGTTATATTAGACGCATGTAGTATTCCCGACATTGCGGGAATTAATGTATTTGCGGATTTTTGGTTTTTGATTCGTAGTTTTTCTGGTATAATTTCATTTAATTTAATTTAAAAATTTATATATAAGCGAGTTGTTGTTATATGGAGAAATGTTACTTAGGCGTTTTGTTATATGGCGAGTTGTTATATGGCGAAATGTTATATGGCGAAATGTTATATGGCGAAATGTTATATGGCGAAATGTTATATGGCGAAATGTTATATGGCGAAATGTTACATGGCGAAATGTTATATGGCGAAATGTTATATGGCGAAATGTTATATGGCGAAATGTTATATGGCGAAATGTTATATGGCGAAATGTTATATGGCGAAATTTTATATGGCGAAATGTTATATGGCGAAATGTAACTGAGCCCCAATTCTTCCAATTCAACCAAGCCACAGAAAAGGGGAATTTTTCCGTAACAGAATTTCCAGAGAACAGTTTTGGCAAGAAACTCTATTTAAACTAAACCTGCAATATACATTGTAGTTCAGAGAATTAAGTTTGATTTAATATCAGTCATGTGCATGTACAATTGATTTGATATTGGCATCAATTTAATTTTAGATCTTTAGAAATATAGGTATTATTTTCTTTGTATGTTCCTAGACAGTTTTCACGCATATGAATGCATATTAAATATCGTTTACGAAAAAAATAAAAGATTGAAAGCTATTTTTTTTCTAGCTATGAACAATTTGATTTGTTTCAGAACCCTTTAGAACTGTGATAGGTGTATAACACTGTAACAGTCCCATTATATCAGTCCTGGATGTAAGACTGTAATAGTACCTTTAGATCAGTCCTGGGTGTAAGACTGTAACAGTACCTTTAGAACTGTGATAGGTGTATAACACTGTAAAATTCCCATTATATCAGTCCTGGGTGTAAGACTGTAACAGTCCCTTTAGATCAGTCCTGGATGTCCTTTAGATCAGTCCTGGATGTCCTTTAGATCAGTCCTGGATGTCCTTTAGATCAGTCCTGGATGTAAGACTGTAACAGTCCCTTTAGATGAGTCCTGGAAATAAGACTGTAACAGTCCCTTTAGATCAGTCCTGGATGTAAAACTGTAACAGTTCCTTTAGATCAGTCCTGGAAATAAGACTGTAACAGTCCCTTTAGATCAGTCCTGGATGTAAGACTTTAACAGTCCCTTTAAACTATGCGTGTGTGGGGGCTGCCTTTAATTGATGAATTTCTAATCATGCAATATTTCAATTTACCAACCAGCGGATCCTTATACCTATCCATCTATCCAACAGTTTATCTATCTGTCTCGACATCAATCCGCATATGTGTTTGTCTGTTATCCATCTGTCAATTTACTAATGTCGGTTTGTCTTCAGGCGTTAACATGCAAAACCACGAGACATCAGTCATAGCAATATTTATATTTGTCGATCAAAGTTATTATATAAAAATGTCTATCTGTGTATGTATAATGTAATGTCTATCTGTGTATGTATAATGTAATGTCTATCTGTGTATGTATAATGTAATGTCTATCTGTGTGTGTATAATGTAATGTCTATCTGTGTATGTATAATGTAATGTCTATCTGTGTATGTATAATGTAATGTCTATCTGTGTATGTATAATGTAATGTCTATCTGTGTATGTATAATGTAATGTCTATCTGTGTATGTATAATGTAATGTCTATCTGTGTATGTATAATGTAATGTCTATCTGTGTATGTATAATGTAATGTCTATCTGTGTATGTATAGTTTATATTTGATTTTTGAAAATGTGGTTTATGCATTTTTGTCAGCATTGAGAGGTGTCAATTCTTAATGTTTATACCTGTCCCGCATGTCCAATAAAATTACCGAATATTTTACTTCCAAAGCGGTTTTCCAAAGGAATTGAGTCTTTGAAACAAATCCTAATTTTCTAATACCTATATATCTACAACCAAATTATGTAAACTTTTGATATTTCAAACTTTGATTGTTTTATAAAACAGTATTCATAGTTTGAAATATCTAAGGTCTACAACATTGGGTTGTTAAGATATAGGGATTTAAAAATCAGAGTTTGTGGCAAAGACTCAATTCCTTTCTGCAATTTCTAGAAAGTAAATATTGATATTTCTTAAACATAAAACAGCTTGTAAACAAATACATATTAATAGATTAATCAGAATAAGTCCGACATCCTTGATCAGCCAAAGTGTAAAGGGTACTGTTGTGAATCGTAGTTGAGCCTCTCGTCTCTATTCTTGAAGTCTCTGACACCTAGATAAGACTTCAGGTGTTTTTTTTCTTATTAAGCACTTCTAAATTTATAACTTAAAAATATATGTTTTTGAATAGTTTTCACGAGAAAAACAAAACATTTCCTCTTTTAAACGAGTAAGGACGACCTTATCTTAAAATTCTTAAAACCGCAATTGAGCGTATTTAAGAAGGTGTTCAGGACAACTCAGATAATTAGTTTAATTAAAGGAACATATTTTCTAGATTACCAGTAACCATCATTAATCATTATATATCCTTACACACACATTTAATTCTTACATTCCACAGCACCTGGGAGTAGGCAGGGTGGGGGTAACATAAGCAAGGTATGAAGGAAGATATAAAGGGGGGGAAATGATTAAAATGCGTTTAGTTTGTGAAAAGGGTTTGGGAGGAACTGTCTAATTTAATGTGATGAGTTTATAATACCGGAATTAAACACGATAATACCACATTACATATTTCAAGAATTTCCAGACTGCCTTCGTTCTCATTTTCTTTTAAACAACCAGTGGCCGAATTTAAAGAATTTGAGCGGCGGTTTAAATTTAAGCCGCAGCTTAAATATGGTTGGTTCCACTTAAAATTGTATCAAATGTTTCAAAATTTAAGCCGGCGCTTAATTTAAACCGGGTTTTGGCAGATTTAAACCGCGGCTCAAACTCTTTAAATTCCATCTCTGGGTTCTCCTTTAACTATGAACTTCCTGGGTTCTCCTTTATCTTTAACTACTTGGGTTCTCCTTTATCTTTAAACTACCTGGGTTCTCTTTTATCTTCAAACTACTTGGGTTCTCCTTTATCTTTAAACTACTTGGGTTCTCCAATATCTTTAAACTACATGGGTTCTCCTTTATCTTTAAACTACCTGGGTTCTCCTTTCCCTTTAAACTACCTGGGTTCTCCTTTATCTTTAAACTAAATGGGTTCTCATTTATCTTTAAACTATTTGGGTTCTCCTTTATCTTTTAACTACCTGGGTTCTCCTTTATCTTTAAAATACCTGGGTTCTCCTTTATCTTTAAACTACTTGATTTCTCCTTTATCTTTAAACTACATGGGTTCCCCTTTATCTTTAAACTAACTGGGTTCTCCTTTCCCTTTAAACTACCTGGGTTCTCCTTTATCTTTAAACTAAATGGGTTCTCATTTATCTTTAAACTACCTGGGTTCTCCTTTCCCTATAAACTGCCTGGGTTCTTCTTTATCTTAAAACTAAATGGGTTCTCCTTTATCTTTTAACTACCTGGGTTCTCCTTTATCTTTAAACTACTTGGGTTCTCCTTTATCTTTTAACTACCTGGGTTCTCCTTTATCAAATTACCTGTTCAGTGTTCTTGTAATGAAAGATGAGAGTCCCTTAGTTTAATTACAAACTCGTGAACGTGAAACCAATTGAAAAGTAGAAAACACGTTTAAAATGTGTTGAGTTGAGATACATGATGTTAAACTATATCAACTAAATTTAGGGTGAAGATCTGTTACAAGAACCCCCCCTATCTTTGGGAGACTGCGTATTGTATTAATTTCTCTTAAATCTTTGCTACAGAAAGTGTATTTTAGTTTTTTCCTCATATCCGAAGAGAGCGATCAAAATAAAATCATATTAGGCCAGCTTAAAACAAAGGATTGTTTACAAAACTTTCTTCGCTATTTTTATCTTTATGTGTTACAATTACCATTTTATATATTTCTTTGTTTCAAAGAGTGAACAATCCCATTAAGAAGACACAACTAAAAAACTAGATGTCAATCAAGAGCCTGGATGAATTCTTTGTGTCTGTATCTATCACATATATCTGTCTGAGTCTGATGTTTTTGTCTAATTATTATTGACAAACGATGCTACTGCAGTCAATTATAGAAGAGTATTAATTATTCGAGGAAACTAGAGAACTGGAGAACGATAGAACTAGAGAACTAGAGAACGATAGAACTAGAGAACTAGAGAACTAGAGAACTAGAGAACTAGAGAACTAGAGAACTAGAGATCTAGAGAACTAGAGAACTAGAGAACTAGAGAACTAGAGATCTAGAGAACTAGAAAACTAAAGAACTAGAGAACTAGAAAACTAGAGAACTAGAGAACTAGAGAACTAGAGAACTAGAGAACTAGAGAACTAGAGAACTAAGAAGTTTTAACGGGATATTATTATTTAAACTAAATTCAGGTGGGTTAAAGTTATTTCTACTGGCCCCTTCACGATTTCGTAGATCTTTTTGTTTTAATTTTTGCATTTCCAAAAATCTTAAGAGCTTGAAAGGAATTGAGTTTTTGTCACAAACTCAAATTTTCCAATTCCTATAACTTTGAATCCTGATGATGTAACCCTGTGATATTTCAAACTTACCTAAATTGATCTTACAGAATTCATAGTTTGAAATATCTAAGGTCTACGACATTAGGTTATAGGATATAGGGATTAGAAAATTTGAGTTGGCTGCAAAAATTCAATTCCTTTGTAGAGGCAATTTACCTTCATTGGCGTTTTGTGGGATCCATTTGACGTTATAAATATAAATAACGAAATAAAGGTTATAGTTCTGCAGGACGGAATAAAGATTGTAGTTCCGTAGGACGGAATAAAGATTAAAGTTCCCAAGACGGATTAAAGATTATAGTTCTGCAGGACGGAATAAAGATTAAAGCTCCCAAGACGGATTAAAGATTATAGTTCTGCAGGACGGATTAAAGATACAAAAGTATATATTATCTGCCCCTTGAAGGTAAGGAATTTTAGAATCTAAATTCTAATGTCTGAATGCTGGGTGGACATTTTATATATTTTTGTATTTATTGAGATCAAATGTTTCCATATATGGTTCCAGGAGGAATAAAGAAGCCATGAAGGAAGCAAGACACATACTTTAATCTTCTTTTTCTTCTTTTTTAAAATCTTTTAATCTTATTTTTTTAATTTTATCTTTGTGAGTTTTTGGTTGAAATTTAGCTGAGTTGGTTTGAACATACAGTGATAACCAGAAAACTCTGGAATAGGAAATCGACTTTTAGATTCAAGTTTGAACTCAATGAACATGAGGCTGCAGCAATTGTGCAGCGTAAATAATACCAATTCACTTAATAAGTGTTTTAATAACTTCCTACTAAGCTTTTTGCTTTGTAACAGCATCAAATTCTCTTTAGAATTGAGTTAATGTCGTCTTCCTATTTTACAGTTTTCTGTCACTGTATTGTGTTTATGAAGCAGATAGAAACTTTAATTCCCTTGTTGATTAGATCAAGTAAATTTCATCCCCCTTCCTCCCATTCTTCCTTTTTCACTTTTTGTCCTTTCTCCTTCCTTCGTTTTATCTCCTGTCCCTTCTCCTTCCTTTGTTTCATCTCCTTTCCCTTCTCCTTCCTTCATTAAATCTCGTGTCTCTTCTCCTTCCCTCATTTTATCTCCTGTCTCTTCTCCTTCCTTCGTTTTATCTCCAACCGTTTCATTCTTCTTTTTTATCTCCTCCCAATCGATAGATAGATCGATAGATAGATCGATAGATAGATCGATATTGTTGAAAACAATTATTTGATAAAATTTATTATCTGAACTGAAACTGTACAGGATCTGAATGAATTATTCACATGGTTATAAAATTAAAATACATTATTATTTATTAGTCAACACTAAACAGTAAACATAGATCTGGAAACAATTATTTTCTGACTTTTAGATAATCTGACTTGATACAACTCACTGGATCATAAATTAAGATTTCTTTGCAGGATGAATTTTCTCTTGACGACTTTAGAATGAAAAAGACTTTTTCAAGAATGTCACATTAAAATAATTTGGAACTTTATAATTACATGGAATGTGAAAGATCAGTTATTTTTAATTTGTGTTGGTCAGGATTATGTTTTTACAATAATGTAGCTTTGTGTCTGATACTTCTAATTTAAACAAAGAACTGTTGTTTCTTAGGTAAAAATAGTTTTTCCTTTTTCATTCATTTGTTTAAGGAAGATTCCCTTTAAGCAGTTTTATTTATAAATGCAAGTTTTCTATCCTTCATGATAAAATAAGGAATTGAACAGAAGAACTTCTGTGACCGAATTTAATGAATTGGAGAGATCACTGAACTCCTACAGGGTTTAAATCCTGAATCACCGATTAAAGTCCTCTGAGTCCCTGAGCTGGTTGAAATATATCTGGTATGAAGGTGGGAACTGAAGATGAGAAGGATGAGAAGAAGAGATGATTTTGAAGAAGGATGGGTTGGAGAACTCTAGTTCTATATATATCTGGTATGAAGGCAGGAACTGAGGAGGAGAAGGATGAGAAGAAGAGATGATATTGAAGAAGGATGGGTTGGAGAACTCTAGTTCTATATATATCTGGTATGAAGATAGGAACTGAGGAGGAGAAGGATGAGAAGAAGAGATGATATTGAAGAAGGATGGGTTGGAGAACTCTAGTTCTATATATATCTGGTATGAAGGCAGGAACTGAGGAGGAGAAGGAGGAGAAGAAGAAGAGATGATATTGAAGAAGGATGGGTTGGAGAACAGGATAACGAAGAGTCAGAAACATCTAGAACAAGAAGAGACAATGTAAATTTGTTCAAGTATCCCTTCCTTTTTAGAGTGTCAAGTCCGATTCACAGCGTTACCCTTTAAACCTTCATCTGAATAACAATGTAAATGGTAAAGAGTTTTTTTTGACAATTTCCTCTTTTGTCTCTGTTGCACAAATCTCCTACTTTTTAAAAGAAACCATAATATTCAATGTCAAAGTAAAAACAAAAATATTTTCGACATCAGACAAAATGTCAAAGGGTACTGTTTTAAATCGGACATGTCACTCTATTAATGGAAGGTAATTTAAACCTACTTCTAGTCTACAGTCTCTTTAAGTAAGCTTTCTCTTTATCGTTTTGAAGTAAACAAGAATTATTAAATTTTTTCTAGGAAATTTTCAATGTTATGGTACAAATTAGCTGAGGTGTTAACAATTGAAATTAAAATTGAATTATCTAAATGATACTCGGAAAATAATATCCATTAAATTTAACAAAAAATTGTAATTGATTCATGTATGTAAAAATACTTACATTGGTTAAATTCGTCAGTACGAGACCCCTCTAGATCAGTCTCTTTCGACATAGTTCTTGTAATTGTAGTTGTGGTAGTAGTAGTTGATGTCGTTGTTGTTGTTGTTGTTGTTGTTGTTGTTGTAGTTGTTGTTGTTGTTGTTGTTGTGGGAGCTACAAATAGAATTTTTTTACTTTCAATTTAAAATATACCTTTCATACTATTTTAAATTCAAAATAATTTTCCATGAGATTATTTGTGACACTTGCCACACACCTTTATTTTCTAATCCCTTTATCTTTCTCACAAAATGATCTAAACCTTTGATATTTTAATCTTTGGTAATTAGATCTCGAAAAATTCATAGTTTGAATCATCAAAGGTCAACGACATCAGAATACAGTAACAACAGGAAAAGAAAATGAGAGTTTAAGGAAAGTGATCAATTCCTTAGGAAATTTTCGATAGTTTTTTATTTTGATTTACAGAAACAAATGAACTGCTAAAGATTATTAAATTCCGTATTTTCATTGCAATGTTTTGTAATTTAGAATAATACCTGTAATATGAAGGTTAATATCTGCTACACCATGTCTGTTTGTTGCTATACATGTATATTTTCCTTCTATATCTACAGACCAAAATCAACCAGTTAAAATTATAATATGCGTTGTATTGTCTAAGAGAGATTATGCTTCAAACTGCGCACCCCGCCGACCTACCCCCCCCCCCCTCCTCCTCCCTATTTTCAAATCTTTAATGAAATAGTTCCCTGCTAATTAGGACAAGTAAGGGTCAAATAAAAATCATGATATTAGGTCTGTCACAAATGACTACTTTAGGAGAAGCCGTTGCTATAGAATTCCGTGTTGTCAAGATTATTCCATGATAACGTCATAATGTTAGTATTGGTCACTAACATACTCTATAGTGCAGTGCTCAGATAGATAGATAAATAAATAGATCCATAGATAGATCCATACATAGGTCGATAGATTTATTGATAGATAGATTGATAGATAGATCGATAGATAGATCGATTGATAGATCGATATATAGATCGATCAATAGATCGATAGATAGATCGACAGATAGATCGATAGATAGATCGATAGATATATCGATAGATAGATCGATAGATAAAGAGATAGATAAAGAGATAGATAGATAGATAAATAGATAAACAGACAGATAGATCGATAGATAAATCGATCGATGATAGATCGATTGATAGATCGATCGATAGATCGATCGATAGTTAGATAGATAAATAGATTGATAGATAGATCGATAGATATATCAATAGATTGATCGATAGATTAGATAGATCGATAGATTGATCGATAGATTGATCGATAGATTAGATAGATCGATAGATTGATCGATAGATAGATCGATAGATT